AAGTCAAGAATACGTAACTTATTGTCAATTTATCGTCGTGTTCAATTAAAGAGGTCTTGAATTAAATTTCGATTGAAAGCTTTCGTGACTGCAGGGATTAATATTCTTGGTTATTTCGGTAAAGTCACGTAGAATGGAAATAATAAAATAATAATAAAATATGATTGCTCGTGTTGCAGTCGAAACGTCGTGAGAATTTTTATTGTTTTATATTCTTATCATTTTATTATTTTCCTTCTACGTGACTTTACCGAAAGAACCAAGAATATAGGTCTTGAATTATTTCCATTAGTCTGGCCCTTAAAGAGTTGCCTGGATTACCTTCAACCGTATGGGATAGACCGGCCCTCGTCATAGGAACGTGGAATGGTTTCGCCAATTCGCTCAAGGGCGTTCGTTTCTCGTTTTGAGTTGAGTCTTCTTTAGATTCTTTCCAATCACCACGATTACTTGAAGTCGCCACCATCGGCGCTGGTTGGATATTCAACCGTGTGGGCACCTGCCTCTCGCAATGCCACGCGCAAAGCAGATCGGTATGATAATTGTTTTCTAACCCTTCTATCTGGCAACAAAACTGACACCTTTTTTTACAAGGAGTCATGTTTGCATAGACCACAATACCTGCAGTCATAATGCAAACAAAAAACATAACTCTGATAATGTATGCACTGTCCTTGAAGTTGATTGGTCCACACCCGAGACAGCTTTCCTTAGAGCCTAGTCTCACATGGTGTTGGACCAGATGACGCCAAAAGGCATTTACAGATCGGTATTGTTCTATCCACTGCTGGTCGACGGATTCCCCAAAAACGCCACCACCGTCGCTGATGTTGAAAGTGTGAATGCAATTTTACGACACAATTTCTATTATTAAGCTTGTTTTTTTTTAAATATGTAATTGTCGAATGCTGTGATGTCGTCCACCGGCTGAATCTCACTTTAAAAAAAATAGCTTCTTAGCTCAAAGGGCTTGACTCGGAAAATATAGCAGTAGGTTTTTACCCTTTCAACTGGTACAAAAACTTACACCTTTATACAAGGCATCATGTTTGCAATAACCACAACACAAGCAGTCAAAATGCAAACAAAAAGAAACAACTCTGATAACGATAATGATATGCACTTTCCTTGAAGTTGATTGGTCCACACCCGAGACAGCTTTTCTTAGAGCCCAGTCTCCATTGGTGTTGGACCAGATGACGCAAAAAGGCGTACAACTCAAAAACAGCGCACTATCAAAGTATTGAGAGCTCGGGGTAAGCATTTACACTATGAGACCTCCTTTACCAGTGGCAAAATATAGTAATAGGTTTTTACCCTTTCAACTGGTACAAAAACTGACACCTTTATACAAGGCATCATGTTTGCAATAACCACAACACAAGCAGTCAAAATGCAAACAAAAAGAAACAACTCTGATGATGATGCCTTGTATAAAGGTGTCAGTTTTTGTACCGGTTGAAAGGATAAAAACCTACTACTATATTTTGCCACTGGTAAAGGAGGTCTCATAGTATAAATCGGAAAATACACTCAAGATTCTGACATTGGGCAATTCAGATATTATTGGTCACCCCGTGTCCCTTATAAATCTCAACGTTCATCCTAGTCCCATCACAAGGGAGAAACACAAACACAAAAAAACGGATTTGTGCCCGCATTGAAACTGCTGTGCGCCGTATGGACCCGAAAACTCAATTTCCCTGTACGAGAATACGGGCTAAACCGTACGAGTTGGCAGCTATGATTCAGGTATTACATCAATGGATTACATCTTGAATCCTTGCCTCACTTGATGCAGCAAATCTGGCTGTGACGGTCCACCTGATGACGGAGACTTGTGTTGCCTCCGAAACGTCGTGATTTTTATTTTATTTTACTTTTATTAATTTTAATGTTTTACCTACGTGACTTTACCGAAAAACCTAAGAATATAATTCAGGTACGTGCAGTAGTATGGACACTATGGGAGAATTGAAGATTAGCTAAACATTTTTTTTTATTAACTCCGCGAATGTCACACGTTCCATGAAGAAGGGGCCACTGCCCGAAACGTCGTGTATGATATATTTATTTATTTTCACGTAAAAGGCCACACGCACAAAACACGCACGGGTGTTGCCGACCAACGCGTCGAATTATTCGATATCGATAATGCGAGTGGGCAGTGGATGACGTTGCACGGCCGATAATCGATTACTCGGATTATGATGAACACCATTCTCAAGGCCATCGTTGAATAGTTGTACATGCATCGACACCGGCTAAGGAGGCATGCAAATGGTGACGATTATTGCATCGAATCATGACGATTAATCGATGTGGGGGTGGGGGGGGGGGTATGAAACGTGAAAAAAAATCGTCTTGATCAGTGACTAAGTCACTTTAATAACAAGATATAACTCACACACACACGGTATATTCACGTGGATATAGCGATTGAATGGATGTCATTTTCTCCCAACTCTCATCATCATCATCAGAACGTCCGACTCGCAAATCCTTCATGAGGAGGGTCGCGAAATTGAGTACCAGTTTGTGGGAAGACAAAGTCGGGTTTTTAAAAAATGTTTTGTCATATACTGTTTCGAGACAGACGGAGGGACTCGGCCCCGGCCACTGGAATGTGGAATTTCCATCGTGGCTGGAAATATAACGCCACGAAAACATACCCCGATTTTTGGTTTTAACGTGATTAGCTCCTTACACCATTGGAACCTCATTTGCCAATAAAAAATATGATAATTGGTTTTTTACCCTTGTATCTGGCAACAAAACTGAGAAAACAAAGGTGTCAGTTTTGTTGCCAGATAGAATGGTCAAAATACAAATTATCGTGATTAGCTCCTCTTGATTGTCACGGCTGACAAGTCATCAACACAGCGAAACCTACGCCATACGATCTCTCTCTATATTGCTACTGACGCCGTGTCCAGCAGACCTCATACATTGGCCATCTAAACTAAACAACTGTTAACTTTTGATTGAAAGCTTTCGTGACTGCACGGATTCATAGTCTTGGTTTTTTCGGTAAAGTCACGTAGAAGGGAAATAATACAATTATTAAAAACACGATAAAATTCTCACGACGTTTCGACTGCAACACAAGCAATTATCATGAGGTGTGAAATCCACAGCAATTTTTTTTGCTGTTTTTTCACACCTGATGATTGCTTGTGTTGCAGTCGAAACGTCGTGCGAATTTTATTATTTTATATATATATTTTATTTTATTGTTTCCCTTCTACGTGACTTTACCGAAAGAACCAATAATATAAACAATTGTTTTAATGTTATCAGGTAAGTCCCACTGAGCTATACAGCTCTTTTTGTTTGTTGTTGTTGTTGCAAAAACGACCTGACCACAAGTGAAAGCGCAACGAAGTGGCTTATGTGGAAATGTATAGCAGCCAAATACTCTAAAACGCGTGATGTTGATTCTAAATGTGGACGGGAACCCCGTAGGGCCTGGAGAAAAACCCACGCGACCACGGGGAGAACATGCAAACTCCAAATATACAGCAGCAGGCGTCAGGGTTAGGGATCGAACCCAGGTTACCCTCCTGTATACCAGGCGAGGTAGTTAACATCTCGCCACCGAGGCACCTGAACTACAGTGCTACTGCCATCACACTCGAGGGTAGAAATCATCATCAGTTGGGCTCTGGGAACTCACAAGCAATGCCGTCACCGTAACGAACATTCGTCAACCAAAAACTCAACGACCATTATTCGTTACAAGAAACCAGTCCGCGGACATTTGTAACAAAAACAAAGTTCATTAAATGCACCTCGAATATGTATACCTCCGCGGTGAATCGTAACCTTTTAACTCGATATAATTCCACCTTTAGCAGAGTCACTCTCATCTTCTTGGTTCTTTCGGTAAAGTCACGTAGAAGGGAAGTAATAAAATAATAAAAATAAAACATAATAAAATAATTCTCACGACGTTTCGGCTACAACGCAAGTAGCCGTCTTCAGGTGAAGAATGAGAGTCACTCTCGCCGCCACTCGCTGTCTCCGAACGAAGACGGCCGTTGCAACTTCATCTGCCATCATCTTCATCATCTTCACCACCACGGAATCACGAAGCCAGTGTTAGTGGCCAGGCATAGCCGGTTGGAGGCTGGATGGATGTCCCGTCAGCCATACGGGTTGCTGCTATAATACATCGCCGTAGCGTCCGCAAGCACGGATAGAAAGCTGGCCATTTGTGGCTGCTGCTGCTGCTGTTGAGGCAGTGATTCCTGTTGCTGCTGCTGTTGCTGCTGTTGCTGGTGATGCATTAGTCCACCCTTGGCAAATCCACCGACGTCTTGCTGCTGTAGGTATTGACTCATGAGTCCGCCGTCACCGTTTGAACCAACAGACGTGACGATCACCAGCCCTTCGCCACCACCACGACCACTACCACCACCGTCGTTGTTGTCATCGTTCACTCCGTCCACAACCTCGTCACTTCCCACCGCCGCAACCTCCCTCTCCTCCCCCTCCTCCTCCTCCTCTTCAACGTCGCTGTATAAACGCCGCGGGTCGGGAGGAGGAGACGGCTCGCCGACCTCGTGGCTGCGAGACATTGGCTGGAAACCGCTGGCGGTCTGCTGCTGCTGCTGATGATGCTGATGATTGCCATGTTGATGGTGCTGATGATGGAAGTTGTGCTGCTGCTGCTGCTGATGATGCTGCTGCTGCTGGTGGTGGTACATCTGGCTGTAGTACAGAGGTAGGACGTGGTGGAGGTGGTTGCTGCTGCTGCTGCTGCTGCTGTTCGTGGTGGTGTTGTTGTTGTTGTTGTGGTGGTGGGCGAGCGACTCGCTGGACGTTTTAGCCGCAACGCTTCGGCTGTCTCCACCAGACTCGTCCACCTCCCGAAAGTGGTGGACAATCGTGGTCGACCTCCTCAGGTCGGTGGCGTATCCCAGAGGAGTCGCTCCGTTCTGCACCATCTGTTGCTCCTGCTGCGGATGCTGATTGTGCAGCTGCTGCTGCTGCTGCTGGAGATGATGATGGTGGTGCTGCTGCTGCTGCTGTTGTTGTTGCTGTTGTTGTTGCTGTTGGAGGAGTAGGTGGTGGTGGTGGTGGTGGTGGTGCGACGGGTATGTGCCCACGACGTGCGGACTCATCGCCTCGTCCTCCGCGCCTCCTTCGCCCGACGCGTTCGCCACCAGGAAGGGGCCCTGAACGACCTCCTGCGTCATGGGCGACGACTGCGCAAAGTTCGGGGCGTCGGTGTCGCCGAGGACGTCCAGCGGAGACATTTCCGGCGTCGGGAGCCCGAACGCGGCATCACTCACCAGGCTCTGCTGCTGCTGCTGGTGATGATGGTGATGATGATGTTGTTGTTGTTGTTGATGGTGGTGGTGGCTCTGCAAGAGCTGCTGCTGTTGCTGCTGATGATGAGGAAGGTTGTTGTGATGAACTCCTTGAAGGTGCGGCTGATGTTGGTAGTGCTGCTGCTGCTGTTGTTGATGCTGGTGGTGCTGTTGATGATGATGGTGGTGGTAGAGTTGGTGGTAGTGGTTTTGAAAATGTCCCCCGGCGACAACGCTCAGGTCTCTAAGCGCCGTTTCCGGCGGACGGCAAACAACGTGAACCGGATCCACCGCGGACAGCAGAGGATGATGCTGATGCTGCTGCTGATGCTGCAACTGCTGATGATGGTGTTGCTGATGCTGATGATGCAACTGCTGCTGCTGCTGCTGTTGAGACAACTCTTGGTGATGCTGCTGCTGCTGATGTTGTTGCTGGTGGTGGTGGTGATGATGATGGAGCAGAAGAGTCGAGTCCACCCGTTTGCCCAGCCTCTTGAGCTGCTTGCGCCTGCGAGGCCTGTACTTGTAGTTGGGGTGGTCCTGCATGTGTTGGACTCGTAGGCGCTCAGCTTCCTCCACGAATGGCCTTTTCTCCGAGTGACTCAGAGCCTTCCAGGACTTGCCTGCAAAGATAAAGAGAGTCAAACATAAGTATAACCCGTAAAAACAAAGTTTTTCACTCTAAATCCTTTATATGCGTGGCGGCTAGAGTCATCTCGTCCTCTGGCTTGAGATGGCTGCCACATATGGGTCAGATGATTGTCTGCCAGTATTAAGCAATTGGTAATTAAATATTTAATTTGTTTTCCCTAAACAGTGTAAAATTTTGGGAAAAAAATTTCACGAACATTAATTGTCTCGCACAACGAGTCTGTGTGCAAAATGTCAGCTCGATTGGATCACGGGAAGTGGATTAAAAAACGACCGAAAGATTTGCACGGTCGTAAGCAAGCAAGCAAGCACGCTGATTGGCCGTGTCGGGTGGTGGAGGGTTACGACACATTTATAAATAAACGCGATCTAAACCCAAAAACGTTGATTATGAATTAATATAAAGGATTTAAAAAGACAAAGACCCCGCCTACCCCACCCCACCCCACCTCCCCCACCTCCGTATAGCTTTAACAGACTGTTGGGGCAAGTGCTGTTAGCGAGCACCTATGAAGGCCGGAACATTCAGACGCTGCCTTTCCGACAGCCCTGTTCTTCACCTGAGGACGGCTGCTTGCGTTGTGGCCGAAACGTCGTGAGAATTGTATTTTATTATGTTTTATTTGTATTATTTTATTATTTCCCTTCTACGTGACTTTACCGAAAGAACCAAGAAGATGAATCCCTGCAGTCACGAAAGCTTTAAATCGACATTTAAGGCCGGAACAGTTACACGGGAGGGTGGGTGGCCCAGCACCACGCCCGACCGCCTTTGTCTCCCCAGTGGCGATATTTTTTATTTTACTTTACACCGCACCAAATACTCACTTGAGGCCGAGTCGACCTAGGGGAGGCCCAGGACCGGTTCAGAAAATCGTCACTTGGTGTTGACCGTGAGCGGGAATCGAACTCGGGTCGCCGGGTTCGTAGCGCAGCGTAGCGCTACCCGCTACAAAGATCCCCCATGTAGCCTTAACAGACTGTAGGGGCAAGTGCTGTTAGCGAGCCCCTATGAAGGCCGGAACGATACACGAGGGGGTGGGTGGCCAGCACCACGCCCGACCGCCTTTGTCTCCCTAGTGGCGATGTTTACACACCGCACCAGGTACTCATTTGAGGCTGAGTCGACCTAGAGGAGGCCCAGGACTGGTTCAGAAAATCGTCACTTGGTGTTAGCCGTGAGCGGGAATCGAACTTGGGTCGCCGGGTTCGTAGCGCAGTGTAGCGCTAACCACTACACCACCGCGACCACCCACACCAACACCACCATTAACACCACCACCACCACCAACACAACCACCACCCACACCACCACAACCAGTGTCGTCTTTGTGCCAGGGATCAGCAAACAAAGTAACAAGGAGAGCAGATATTGACGCGCGCGTTCGAATTCGGCAAATGCAGCTAGCTCGCCCTGGTTAACGATGCGGGTGCATTATCCACAATCATAATAATGCAACCAAAAAAAAATATAGCGTTAGATGTTATTGTTGCGGAGCGGTCGTGGCTACACGCACGCTCTGTCATTCGGGGTTGACGGATCGAGGTTGCCATACCCTGGCCTGGCTCTCCAACAGAATGCAGTCGGGAAAAGCGTCGTGACCGATGTCATCGTCCGTCTCTTTTCTGTACGGCATCGAGTGTTGTCCCCTCGCATTTCGCCGGTTTGTGTCCTACCCCTCCCGGGTGCTCCGGTTTCCTCCCACGTGTAGCAGAGACGAACATTCCGCTCGTCAATCTTGATTTGAAGCTTTCGTGACTGCAAGAATCCATACTCTTTGATTTTTACTCTTTGGTTCTTTCGGTAAAGTCACGTACAAAGAGAAAATAATAAATTAAATACTAGCATACAACGTTTCGATTGCAACACAAGCAACCATCATCAGGTATAATTGAAATAGAAACACAAATCTAGTATACTTAGAAATGTAATGTAATACAACAGAGAGTCGGATAACATAACAGTCAACACCCTACCTGGTTGATTACGTTCTTCCTGAGAATGCTAAATTTGAGAGAGAGATAAAACACAGAGCCATAGACATCTAGACAGACATATAAGTAGAGACAGATATCACAGAGATACATAGAGAGAGAGAGACACGTGGTTTTTGTCGGTAAAGTCACGTAGGTATAAAATAAAATAAAGCACGACGTTTCGATTGCAACACAAGCAATCATCATCAGGTGGGAAAACCACAGGAAGAAATATTTTTTTTCCCGCTCGTCGTTGATTATAGTGCGATGCTACTGCTATTGTTAATCCGGCTGTTATGGATTGACTTATGCAGCGAGCGAAGGATGCTCGTTTTAGTGATGTGTGTTTTGTGTGTCGCTATTGTCAATTTTTGATCACATTTGTTTGGAAAACTGTTACGTTGTTTATATAGCATTGTTTTAGTAAGTTTTAGAGGGGCTTGGTTTGGCCCGATTTTTTTTTATTTTGTATAGATTTATACTTAAAATTTTGACCTGTATTGTATTATGATTGTTATTGGGATCAAACATCGAAATGGAATTGTTTGCACTTTTTGCACGCAGCATGGACGGGTTGTGCTTTTTCTGTAGGATTTTATTGTTTACGTACGTGATGTTTAGATCTGTGTACAATTAATTTTATGTGTATCTTGTAATTTTATTGTTTGTTGCGGTTGAACCCAAATCAAGAGCCGAATGGCTCACAAGGTAAATCCTAATAAATTAAACTGAAAAATAATAAATGAAACTGAAACTGGACACATCCTGTGGCAAAATATAGTAATAGGTTTTTACCCTTTCATCTGGTACTATATTTTGCCACTAGTAAAGGAAGTATCACAGTGTAAATGCTTACCCCGAGCTCTCAATACTCTGATAGTGCGCTATTTTTGAGTTGTACGCCTTTTGGCGTCATCTGGTCCAACACCAATGGAGACTAGGCTCTAAGGAAAGCTGTCTCGGGTGTGGACCAATCAACTTCAAGGACAGTGCATATCATTATCATTATCAGAGTTGTTTATTTTTGTTTGCATTTTTGACTGCTTGTGTTGTGGTTTTTGCAAACATGATGCCTTGTATAAAGGTGTCAGTTTTTGTACCAGTTGAAAGGGTAAAAACCTATTACTATATTTTGCCACTGGTAAAGGAGGTCTCATAGTGTAAATGCTTACCCCGGCAAAGAGCCCCCGTGTAGCCTGGGGCAGACTGTTGGGGCAAGTGCTGTTAGTGAGCACATATATGCACACACACACACGCGTGCGCGTGCCACGTGACAATGATCTTGCTAAGAGCAGCTCCATTTCCGCACGTAGTGCAATTGGACACTCGAAGTCGAATTGGAGGCGGTTTACGTCGCAAATTACGCCGGCGTCGTTAACTAATGACACCCCATTGTTTTGTTCCAATCGAGGTAAAGGTAAACATTTCCCGCACACACGTCTGTGTATCCGTGCGGGGATCTGTGAGTGTGTTTAGAGATATCACGCGTTGTGTGTTTATGGAATGGGAGCGGTGGCGCAGTGGTTAGCGCACCTCGCTACGGACCCGGCCCTTGTATAAAACACGGCAGTTCTGTATAGTGCGGAGTCTGGAATACAAAGACAAAGATCCAATGTATAGTCTTAACAGACTGTAGGGGCAAGTGCTGTTAGCGTGCGTGCATACACCACGGTATATGACCCGAGTTCGATTCCCGCTCACGGCCAACACCGGTGACGATTGTCCGAACCGGTCCTGGGCCTCCCCTAGGTCGACTCAGCTTCAAATGAGTACTTGGTGCGGTGCGTGTAAACATCGCCACTGGGGAGACAAAGGCGGCCGGGCGTGGTGCTGGCCACCCACCCCCTCGTGTGCCGTGCCGGCCTTCATAGATGCTACTCGTTAACAGCACTTTCCCCTACAGTATGTTAAGGCTACAACGGGGAGCTTTGTCTTTGTATATGCGTGAAGACATATGTGCGTACGTCTTTGGAATAACATTAATTTGGAATAACATTTAAGTTCTTATCGTGATTTGTTACGTATTTAATTACCGGTCACGAGAATGTGTGTGTGTATATATTGTGTGTGTATATATATCTGAGAACACAAAAAGACAAAGATCCCCCGTATAGACTTTAACAGACTGTTGGGGCAAGTGCTGTTAGCGAGCATCACCTACGAAGGCCGGCACGGCACACGAGCGGGCGCGTGGCAAGCAACCACGCCCGGCCGCCTTTGTCTCCCCAGTGGCGAATTACACACACCGCGTTAGGCAATCATTTGGGCGAAGCCGATTTGATCGCGATACACATTCTATGCAAAGACACAAGCAAATAGCCCCCGCGTAGCCTGGGGCAGACTGTTGCGGCAAGTGCTGTTAGTTCCTATGATCACTGTTTCTTTGCTTTCATGGCTTTATTTTGGTGATTTCAAAAAGTGTATTGGTTTGGCCATGTTTGTTTGTTGTAGTACAGAGTTAGACTGATGGCCTTAATCTAAGTTGTGTCTTGTGGTTGTTGTTGTTGTTTGACTTGCATCCCACTGGGATTTTTGTAAACAGCGTTGGTGTACGGTGCTTTTTATGAAATATTTTGCTGTCTTTTCTTGGATTTTCTGTTTGCACATAGTCACTTTAAGATGTTTTCTTGTTCATGTTTTTGTTTTTTTGTTTGTTGCGGTTGCACCCGATTCAAGAGCCGAATGGCTCACAGGGCTATACCTAATAAATGAAAAAATGAAATAAATAAAAAACTAGTGAGCACCTATATATACACACACACGCGTGCGCGTGCCACGTGACAATGATCTTGCTAAGAGCAGCTCCATTGCCGCACGTAATGCAATTGGACACTCGCAGTCGAATTGGAGCGGTTCCCGTCGCAAATTACGCCGGCGTCGTTAACTAATGACACCCCATTGTTTCGTTCCCATCGAGGTAAAGGTAAACATTTCCCACATATACGTCTGTGTATCCGTGCGGATCTGTGAGTGTGTTTAGAGATATCACGCGATG